TTTTTTTATTTTACATTACTATCCTTATTGCTTGTTTTTTAAAAATATCTACAGAATTAGAGGGAAGTTATAATAATTTTAAGCTTGATATATGTAGGAAACATGACTCTGAAAGTAAGTCAAATAAAAATATCTTCTGCTCTGCATTAATTAGCAACTAGAGTTGGGTCAACTTGAATTTTGTTAGCTACTTTTCATACTGTTCATTGATAATTGCCACTAAAACTGAATTATCTTAGTTCCTTGAGCAACTTTTAAGAGATAATGATATCAGCCACTGATGTAAAGATTTGCTATCAGTCTAAGTTGCTTATAAAAGCATTATAAACACTTATTTACATTAAATATCTTAATGCAATCAGAGCAGTATTTGTAATTATGTAAAAGGAATACTTTCAAATAAAAATGATAGGTGGTAACAATTTTTGGCCAATAAAATATTTTATATTTTTGGTAATATCATAATAATCATTTTTACACAATGAAAATAATTGTTATTTGTGAGGCGACTTTTATTGTTTAAATTTTACAACTATATGTTTGTTTTTAATGCAGATTGTAACTCATTTCATTGCAACTAGATCTAGATTCAGTATAATCTATTCTATGACCAATGACTGAAGGCTTTTTATTTTGATATCATCACTGAAATCTCTTACATTCAAAGTTTAAAATTATTACAGTTAAAAATAGTTATTTTTACTTTATAAAGAGTTAAACATTGCAACAAATAAGGATTGAATGGAATAGAAGAACAAGAGGACTGATCCGCGGGAAGTTATGGTGCATATTCTGAATTCTTGGGAGTTGATCCGCATTCTAGGCAGACGCCCGTGCACGTTCCGCGCGTTCACGTGCTTGGTTCAGCGTGCGGAACGATCCGCAGCAATCCGCACTGATCCGCATTCTAGTAACGCCCCACACAACAACTACCTATACCTCGCGTAGGCGAGGCCAACAAGCTAACCGGATGCAGACTTTGCAAAGCCCTGTTAAGGGAGGGGCTGGTATAGTTGGGTATTCTTCGAGGTATTCTTGTTATGTTAATCCTCAATATGGCGGCGTTGGAACAGATGCAGCTTCTGAGCTTTTCATACAGGGAAGAGAAGAAGTTGATGATGAAAATTATGGAGTTACTAATGACAGCAAAATAACAGATGAGGTAGTTTAAATGTACCTGTACATGTATACTAGTACATGTGAATTTTAGTCAAATTGTGAAATGCATGTACGATATGCCCTGTACCTAGTCTCGCTAGCCAGACCATTCCCCAGCCTACAGTCATTGGGGTGGACGGCGGGGAAGGGTCTGGTACATTGCTTGATGTAGCCTTGTTCTGACAGCAACCACGTGGGTAGTGACGTAATGAAAATGTCATGTGCAAAAGACCCCGCCCATCACACGTGTTTTCACGTGTGTAATGCAGCAACGACTTTTAACCAAATTAAACAAGCCCAAATGACTTACAAAATGCATTCTGGAGGCTGGAAGGGAAAGTAAGAAAGTATTGGAACATTAGATTCCTTTGCCATACTTTG